GTTTGCTAGTTCCCTTGGTAGATTAAAAAAAATGTGTTCTCGCTTGTTGTGAAAAGAGTTTTGAAGAAGTTGAAAGGGTGGAATGAAGGGGTTCTATCTCGTGCAGGAAAATAAAAGTTAATTAAAGCATTTGTCCAAGCAATCCCAATGTATATCCTAAGTTGTTTTAAACTTCCAAAAGGAGTATGTCTGGAGTTGGAGAGACTAATGCAAACGTTTTGGTGGGGTTCAAGGGAAGGGGAGAGGAAATTTCATTTGTTAAGATGGGGGAAATTGGCTGAAGAAAAAGGTAGGGGGCATGGGTTTAAGAGGAATTTTTACTTCAACATGAACATATTGGGCAAGCATTTCTGGCGGATCCATTCTAATAAAAGCTCTCTTCTTACCAATGTTCTGAAGAGCAGGTATTACCCGAATGACTCAATCCATGAAGCGCAAGGTGGCTATGCTCCAAGCTATATGTGGAGGAGTATTCTTTACTCGAGATAAATGATTTTGGTTGGAACTAGATGGAGGATTGGTGATGGTGCCAAGTTGAGAATTTGGAAGGACAATTGGGTTCCAGAGAATGTGGGCTTCAATGTCATTGGTGTTGTCTGCGGTTTGAATCAGGATTCTTTAGTCAAGGAGCTCATCGATAAGATTTGGCTTGTTGGATAAGAAACATGTTAGATGATTGTTCTGACCTCGGAGAAGTTCTTCATATTGCAAGCATTCCTTTATCGATGAGTAGGATTGAAGAAAAACTCATTTGGCACTGGGAAAAGATAGGGAGTATTCTGTTTGAACAACTTATCATCAGTTGAGGACCAAAAGAGAGGCTTTAAAATAGGGCCCCTCTAGACCTCACAATGCTCAGTTGTGTAGAAAGCTCTAGTGCATACGTGGATAAGGAATTTTCTATGGAGGTTAGGAAATAACATCCTTCCCACTAGGGCTAACCTGGAGAAAACAATTATAAATTTAGATCCCTCATGTCCTTTATGTCACGATAAACCTGAAACCACCCATCATATCTTTCTGAATTGTTCTTATACAAAAATGGTGTGGTTTTCTTCCCCTTTGGATCTTCGGATTTCCCCAAATATGGACCCAAACACGTGGATGGAACATGGTCTCGATATGAAAGATGTTTTGGGGTACAATTGTTGTGCACAATTTTGTGGAAAATTTAGAAGACTAGGAATGATTGTGTCTTCAATAACAAGGTGACAGATCCTCAGGATGTGGCTAAGGGTGTTATGGATCATGTGTTAGAGTACAGTAGATATAACCCTAAGTTGTGTGATAAAATGAAGTGGATTGATGATGGCGAGCCTATTGGGTGCCCCCAGGAGTGTCATTTAATCCAGGTAGACGCATGATGCTTTAATGATGGAAGTATTGTGATGGAGTGTGTCATCAAAGATAATGAACAGAAGATTGTTTTGTCATCCTGTTAAAGAATCCAAAGTTCAGCTAAGCCCAGTGTTATAGATGCAATAACGATCAAATGGGGAATGTAGATGGCGTTTGACTTAAAGTTGCAGAATATAATTGTTCAATCTGATGCACTTACAATAGTGGATTGTGTTAATAACATTGTTGTCTCTGCAGTTCTTGAACTGGTTTCCATTGATTGAATGTGTTAATGAGAAAAGTTTGTTGATGTTGTTATATTTATTAAAAGGGAGTTTAATGTAAATTCTCACTATTTGGTTGGGATTGGTACGAAGGTTAGGTCTAGAACTTGGTTGGGGTGTCTACCCTTATTGGAACTTCCTTCTATAACAATTTATACTATTGTTTGTTAATGAAAAAGTGCGGTTTAAAAAAAATCCAACCAAAACATAAGACAATGTGAGAAACAATAGGTATATCAATCGCATATTACAAGTCATGTTTAAAATCATCAAGTAATTGATGATGAGATGTCAAACACAAATGTTAGATCATGATAAACATATAATAAGAAAACTTTGAAGAATTAATAATAAAGATTTTATCAAAATTGACCCCAAATTTAAAAGATCAAAGAATTTGACTATTTATAATATTTGATTTAAGAGTGTTTCTCTTGGATCTCAAAATTTTACATGGTATTTCTATGTTATGGATTTGGTTTATGCACCTCATATACCAAAATTTTAACAAAATTTTATTTGTTTTTAAATCATAAAAAAATAATTTAAAAACAATATCAACTCATTAATTATATAAAACGAGGTTAAATCAAGTATAATAACTCATATTACCAATGTGATATAAAAATTATAGATTATGGGTCTTTAAAACTGAAATAATCTAATAGAAAATCACAAATCAAATCAAATAAATTAAAAACTTTAAAAAATCGCATTTGAGTCAGGTGTGTTTGAGCCATATTTAATTAAAACACAATGTTCGATTCGGTTTGTGGTTTATATTTTGCAAAACAAACCAATCCGAATTAAACTGCATTATTATCTACAATCCAAATTTCACTTAACTCACAACAAACTGAAACCTAAATTTATTATGCCTTAACTTTACAAATACAAACGATTTTCTCTTCATCACACTTAGGGTTTCAGTGTCAGCTTTCTCAAATATCTCCTAGCAGAATCGCGTCTTCTTCACCAAATACTTTTTGCCTTCTATTCTCTAATTTGTACTTTTTTATAAACTTTCTTTTTCACCTTCTCATTTTTATCTTACTACCGTCTCTTCCAGTTTTGTTTTTATCGCACCTCTTCTTCTTTAATCTCTCATCTTTTTTTTTCTCTTTCTTTTTCATTTTCACTAATCTCTTATCTCCTTTTTTTTTCTCTTCATTTTAATATTTTTAATATTATTCTATTATTTTATATTTATTATTCCATTTTTTCTAATATAATTTTTACATATTAAAATGGAAAGTTATTGTCAAAATATGATAAATTTTATTTTTATTGTAGTGTACCAATCACCAAATACAAAGTTATGTTGTCATCAATGTGTATGTACAACTCAATAATTTTTTTTTATAAATCTGAATCGATCAAACTTATTCAAATAACATTTATTTTTTCTCATAGTTTAGATGACTTTTACCGTCAAAACCGCTCAAACCGCGTAAAAAGAACACCCTTATATAAACTAAATTTAAAATGGTGAATATTTTTTAAAAATTACGATATGAAACCTCCCCCCCCTCTCTCTCTCTCTCTCTCTCTCTCTATATATATATATATATATATATATATATATATATATATATATATATATATATATATATATATATATATATATATATATATATATATATATATATATATATATATATATATATATATATATATATATATATATATATATATAGAGAGAGAGAGAGAGAGAGAGAGAGAGAGAGAGAGAGAGAGAGAGGAGAGAGAGAGAGAGAGAGAGAGAGAGAGAGAGAGAGAGAGAGAGAGAGAGAGAGAGAGAGAGAGAGAGAGAGAGAGAGAGATGGCAAAACGGGCTACCCGGCCCGTGACGGGCTCAGGCTTTTGTTCGGGTCGGGCTAAAAAGCCCGAATTATAAACGGGTCACTATTTGATTGACCAAGTCCGGCCCTTCACGGACTACAGTTTTTCGGGCCGGCCCGGTTTATATTTATAATTTTGTTTTTTTTTAAATTAAAAAGTGAGTGTTTTATTTAAAAAAATAATATAATACTATTAGTATATTGTACACACCATACTCTAGTTTTATCATAGCGTCAAATTATAACAGTATGACATTTCACATAGAAAATGCATCAGTATGACATTTTATTTCACTTAGAAAATGATAATAATGTTGTACACACCAAAATATAACTTATAACATTTTCCTTGGTGCATTGCTTGTCTTTTTTCATTTGAACAAGGATTCAAAATAAAGTAAATTTCTCAATGATAACATTAAGTTTTACAAATTAAATTAACAATAAGGTCTAAAATTTATTAAAAAAACTAAGCGGGCTACCCGCTACCCGGTCAGGCTAACCCGATTAAACATCGACCTTTTAACGATTCGGGTTTAAAAGTCCGGATAATAAATGGACCTTATTTTTTTTGTTCAAACTCGGATTTTTTGGCGGACTTTCGGGCCGACCCGGTTGGTCCGGCCCATTTTGCCCCGTATATTTATATAAATAAATATATATATATATATATATATATATATATATATATATATATATATATATATATATATATATATATATATATATATATATATATATATATATATATATATATATATATATATATATATATATATATATATATATATATATTTCTCACGCAAGCAGGTGAAAAATGTATATCACGTTGTAGTAATTTCCAAATTCACCTCCCTTAAGTCCAATGAAAATAAATAGTTTTTCTATTTTTAAGTAAATACCAATAGGTTGACAATATTATTTTTAAATATTCTTATTTCTTAAAGTAAACTTTTTCTATTTTTTTGTTTGACTCAAGTAAACTTTTTCTATTAAAAATATAGGTTATGGGAGTCATATCTCATTATAATATTAGAAAGATTTACCAAATTGCGGAATTTCAGATTGCAACACATCAGATACGAGTAAATGATGAATAAATTAGTTTTTTTATAACAGAAAACAAAAAGTTAGAGCGTGCGATAAAAATAAAATAAGCACTTAAAATAAGCACGTTTTAATGAATTATACTAGAACAAATTTATGTGCCACCTGTAGATATTACCGGACACGGCCACCCACGACCAAACAAAGCAGCATCCTCGTCCTCAGCTTTGTTGATTTGAATTCAATTTTGGAGTTGGCATTTTGATTTTTGACTTTGACACTCGCCGCGTCAAGCCAAACCCGTTTCGAACCACCGTCCCACGTGGCATAAACCACTTCTTATCTGCCACCTGTACCCGCCAACCACCTCTCTATTTTCTCTATAATACTTTTCACTTTTTTTTTCATCTTTCTTTCTCTCTCCCTCTCTTACCTCTGCAAATTCGTTTTAATTCAATTCCCGCTATCTCCCTCACGCGCCGTCACAACGATGCCGTATTGCGACGTCGGAACGCTTCTTTCCTCCCCAACCACCTCCTCGTCCGCCGTCGCACCCGACGATGCTCAACTCAACAATGACGTTAGAATATTTTACAGAACTTACGGTCGCGGTCCCACCAAAGTCCTTCTCATCATAGGTATTTATTTCCATCATCGCTTCATTCTTCTTCTTCTTATTTTTTTTGCTTTTTTAATTTTAAGTTCCAATAAATTTTGCTGAATTTTTGGAGATTGATTTCATTGAATAATCAGGATTGGCTTCTTCATACGAAGGGTGGGGCCCACAAATCAAGGGATTAACTGGAACAGACGTACCTAACGACGAAGACGACGCGGCTTGGAGTGGAGGTGACAATGAGGCCGGTGGAGGTATCGAGGTCTGCGCTTTTGATAATCGGGGCGTCGGTCGGAGCTCCGTGCCTATCAGAAAATCCGATTACTCGTAAGTTACACCGTATTCTTATGTTTTGGATTATTAATTTCAGTCATATACACTGTTTGGCTTAATTTAAGTAAAAATTTAAAAAGTGGAATTTAAGTAACATTGTTTGGCATATTCACCAAACAAGTCTTTAATAGGAAGTGATTTTGAATATTGGTGAATGATTGTTGAGTGCAGAACAAAGATCATGGCAAAGGATGCTATTACTTTGTTGGATCATTTAGGTTGGAAAAAGGCACATGTTTTTGGTCATTCTATGGGTCAGTATTTTCTGTTTTTCATTTAGTCGAAATTCAGATGGTTTATTATAAGATTGGTTAGGCTAAGATTATTTATTTGTGCTTAATTTTAATTATGTTTGTTGCCTAATGAAACAGGGTCTATGATAGCTTGTAAATTAGCAGCAATGGTACCTGATAGAGTTCTTTCATTGGCGTTGCTCAATGCAA